AGTTCAAATTTGGCCTCAGACACTTACTAGCTGTGTGACCCTGGGCAAGTCACTTAACCCTGGTCTGCCTCATTTTCCTCATCTGTAAAATGAGCTGGGGAAGGAAAGGGCAAACCACTCCAGTATCTCTGCCAAGAAAACCCCAAATGGGGTCATGAAGAGTCAGACATGACTGAAATGAATGAATAATAATGTATATTGCTGTGAAGCCATATGTCATTGGAAAATACATTATCTCATTTGAATTGAACAAGAGTCCTCTGCTGAGGCAGGCACTACAGCTGTTACTCTACCCACTTTACAGATGAGGAAACTGAAACTTAGCAAAATGAAGCGACTTGCCCATAGTTTGAGAGCAGGTAGGTATCAGAGGTGGGATTTGAACCTACATCTTCTGATTCGGGAATCCAGCTCTTTACCCATTAGGACAAGCCAAAGTGAACCAATCCCTGCCTGGTGCTGACCATGGAGGTGGGACTAAGAGACCCAGAAGTTTCTGCCCAGGTACAGAATCTGTCTGCTAGGAAGGCTGGAGGTTCTACTCCCATCCACCCCAAGAAGGGCCACACCCAAACCTCCTAGATCAAAGAAAATCTAAAGACACAATAGGTTGGGGCAGCTGGGTGATGCAGTGGATAGAGCACAGGCCCTGGAGTCGAGGCCTCAGACATATAACACTCACTAGCCGTATGACCCTGGGCAAGTCACTTAACCCCAATTGCCTCACCAAAAAATAAATAAATAAATAAAGACATAGTAGGTCCCTGATTAAGTGTCCAGCAATTTACAAAGGCAGCATGGTTTAGTGGGAAAAGCACCAAATTTGGAGGCTTCTGGAAAAAGTCAACTCATCTCTCTAGGCCTCGGCTTCCTAATCTGTAAAAACGAAGGGTTTGGATCGGATGGTCTCCAGGGTTCCACTAGTCCGAGATCCTCTTCATCAACATCTGAATTCTCTCCAGTGTGACCCCAGGGCCAGGGGCAATGGAGCTGCTGGGGGGAGGGAGGAGCAGTGCCCAGCACAGAAGACTGGCATTCAGCAGGTGCCCCCCCATACATTCAAATGATCTGCTGGGATTTTGTTCATTTCTTGAACGTCATCCCAACGGGATTTAACATCTCCACATGAGAATAGCAGCTCACATTCATTCATACAGAGCTTCAGGGATGACAAAGCTCTGTCTTCCCAACTTCCCAGGGAGGTGAAGAAGGGATGGGTGCTATTATTCCCACTTCCCAGCTGAGGAAACTGAGGCTCAGAGGGGCTGTGATACGCCCAAGGTCATAGGGCATGGGTTTTTAACATAGACACAAGATGGCGGGAAGTCCGAGAATAGATTTCAGGGAGTCTGTGAACTTGGTGGAGAAATACTATTACATTTTAATAATGAGTGGTTTCTTTTGTAATCTCATGTATTTTACGCATCTAAGTGCATTCTTCTGAGAAGGGGTCGTAGACTTTATCAGACATTACTAAGGAGGTCCATGAGACAAAGAAGATCCCTTGGAGTGGCTGAAAGAACACTGGGATTTGGAGTCAAATGACCAAGGCTTGAATCCCAACTCTGCTCCTTACTAGTAATCTGTGGGACCTTGGGCCAGGCACTGTTCCCTGTCTGTGCCTCAGTTTCCTCCTCTGGAGTTAACGGAGCTCTAAATGCTATGACTTGATACGAGTAAATTTAAGAGCTGGGTTCTGAACTCTGGTCCCTTGGCTCCAAATATGGCACCCTTCCCATGACACCACACTGCCTCTATTGGCAGAGAGCTGCCCGGAGAGAAAGATCCCATTTGTAAGGCTGGCACTTGCATGAGAGGACACTTGCCAATAGGTACCCGCCCTCCCCCCCAAACTCCCAGGCTAGAATCAAAGGCCGGCTCAGGGTCCTACAGTCTGGCTTTCCCCTTTTGTCCCTCTCTCCTAGCAGGCTGATTCTGAGAAAACCAGTTCCACAATAGCCCAAGCATCAATCCATTCATTGGTGGGGAGCCCACCCACCCTTAGCCATCTCATGGCAAGTTCTAACAAGCCCAGAACCCAACCCCAGGCTCCCCAGCTTGTCCAGGCAGGCCTGGGCAAGGAGAGCAAGTCAGTGCAAGGCTATACGGGCCTAGGGCCATGGGCACACAGACACAGACATGCAAAAGTGTGAATCCCCTGTAACCTGGACAGGTACATGCAGTCCTAGGCATGTGCACAATGGATGGAGACTCAGGACACCCAGATCCTAGCCCTGGCTCTGTCACTAACTAGGGCACTCTCTATCTTAGGCAAGTCACTTTCAGGGAGTCAGGAGACCTGGGCTCTGACACTCACATACTGCCTGACCTGAGGCTTCTCTGGTCCTTCCTCTCCCCGTGTGGCCATTTCTATAAAATGCTGGGGCTGAACTAAGATGATCTTGAAATTCCTTCTATCCTTAACATTCCGTCTTCCAAGGGCCCTCCCAGGTCTGACATTCTTTGTTCTAAGGACCCTCCCAGCTGACATTCTCTGTTCTAAGGGATCTCCCAGCTCTGACATCCTATGTTCTAAGGGCCCTCCCAGCTCTGACATCCTGTGTTCTAAGGCCCTCCCAGCTCTGACACTCTGTATTCTAACAGCCCTCCCAGCTCTTACACTCTGTGTTCTAAGGGCCCTCCCAGCTCTGACATCCTGTGTTCTAAGGGCCCTCCCAGATCTGACATTCTATATTTTAAGGTCCCCTCTAGCTCTGACATTCTAATTAATATGTTCTGATATTCTGAAATCCAAGGTCCTTTCCAGCTCTAATAGTCTAAGTTCTAAGGCCCTTCTAGGCTCTGACATTCTATGCTCTAAGGTCCCTCCCAGCTGATTTTGTTTTTAGACTTTACATCATAGTCTACACACACACACACACACACACACACACACACACACACACACACATTCCACTAAATACTCCCTAGTGATAAAGAAAAACATTTAAGCCCAAACATCCAGAACAATGACATCATCTCACAGTGTATAACATATTCTACACTTGTAAACTAATCATATGCTTCATCATTTGTTCTCTGGAAAGATTCACTTTCCCAGTGGTCTCTTAATTGCCAAAGTGCACAGCCCTTTCTCAGTCCTCAGAATTTCCGACGTCTTTGCCATATCTGACACCGCTGTCCACACTCTCTCTTCCCAGATCCTGCCTCCTCCTCCAGTTCTTCTTGCTGAGTTATTCCATCAATTATATAAAGAAATGCCAATGATCTATGTGGATTTCATTGATATTCTACAACTTTGCTGAATTTACTGTTTCAGTTGACTCTTTAGGGTTTTCTAACTAAATCATCCTATCGCCTGCAAAAAGGCATCACTTTGTTTCTATATAAGCCTATGCCTATTCCATCCATTTCTTTTTCTTTTGTTACTGCCCTAGCTAGTATTTCTGGGAGTATGTTAAACAGTAGTGGTTATAATGGGCATGCCTGCTTTAACTCCAGGCCCAGCACTGTATCCACTGCACTACCTGGTTGTCTCCGTATATCCTAAGTATATATTGTTTGTACAGTGTTGTATGCATGCTGACTATTGTAAGCTCCTTGAAAACAGGGACTGTATTTTTTTTAATGGTCTATCAGGGTTAAGTGACTTGCCCAGGCTCACACAGCTAGCAAGAGTCTGAGACTGGATTTGAACTCAGGTCCTCTTAACTCCAGGGACCAGTGCACCACCTAGCTGCCCCAACAGGGACTGTGTTTTTGCCTTTCTTTGTATCTCAGCGCTTGGCACAGTGCCTGGCACACAGCAGGCACTTAATAAATGCTTGTTGACTTGATTTGACTTGATGATCTGTCTGACCATTCCTTCTGCATCTTCCTTGCCAAAGCATTCTCCAGGTCACCGCTCTGGGTGCTCCTCAAAACTCTGTCCTGGACCCTCCTCTGTTTCCATGCTGTCTTTTAATGACATCATCAGCAACCATTGGTTTCTTTCTCATTTCTATGAAGAGGACTACCTTAATGTACGTTTCCAGCCTGAGTCTCTCCCTGAGCCCCGGTCCTACATCACCAACTGTCCACAGGACATTTCATTTGGAATTCCTCTACGCATCTCAAATTCAGCATTTCCACAAAAGAAAAAAAAAATTTTCTTTCCCCCACCAAAGGCACCCCTTCCTTCTAGTCACCCACATTTGCAACATGGCATAATTACCCTTGATTCTTTACCCTCCCTCACCCCATATCAGTTGTCGGACCTTGTCTCTACCTTCATCTCTTGACACACAGCAGGAACACCATATGAGCTTGGCACATAGTAGGAATGGAAAGAATAATTTTGTGCTGAATGAACCAAGTGTGTGAATGGGGCCAGGTTCTGAAGGTCTTTCAATGCCAAACAGAGGAGTCTGTATTTGATTCTAGAGGTAATATGGAGCCAGTGAAGTTTCTTGAGCAGGGGGAATGTCCTGTTTCAGGAACATCACCTTGGCAAATGCTTGGAGGATGGACTGAAGACTGGAGGGCCTACGGATGGGGGCTGGAGGGCAGAAAGGGGTTAGGATCCATTCCTCCATGCCCATGGGAGATGGACTATGGTGTCTGAGGAACAACAGGAAAGTCAGTATGGCTGGACCACAAAGACGTCCAAATTTGCAGTTTCCTCACCTAGAAGGCTAGGTAACCTCTACAGGTCTCTTCTAGCTTGAAAACTAGAATCCTACAGTTCTAAATTGTATAATAATTACTGTTATTATACACATATGTACACAAAGACAAGCACATGGGGACATGCACACACTCTGAAATATACACACTGAATACACATGTTCATTTGATTCTGGCTTATTGACTGGGATCTAAAATTCTAGGCCATGAATGAAGAATAAATGATACCAGTGTGTATATCATTAGATTACTCTGTCCAGCCCCCTTTCCTCCCAACAAGGTCATTCTCATAACAAGCCCCAGATGAGCAGGCTCATTCCTTTCCAAAGGCAGCGGCCCTTCCCCTCTAGCCCCCAGACTCCCCAAGCACCTACCCGCTCACTGATGGCATTATATTTTATGGCCAGCTCATCCCGTTCTGCCCGGCTCTGGGCCAACAGGTCCTCAATTCGGGATAGTTCCTGCTGCAGGATGCGGTTCTCTTCCTGGAGTGTTAGCAAGGATGCCATCTCTGGGGACTGAGAAGCCTCTGGGGTGTGGAAAGTGAGGGAAAGAGACGTCAGCATTGTTGGCTCAGTCCTGAGAAGCTGGGGAAAATCAGACCCCGTCTATGACCTCTTCCCCTCTCAGACATCCAACCCAATGGAAGACGTAGACTCAAGAACGACTGGGTGGGGGAATTCCTCAGATGAGAGGGGAGACAGCCACCAGACAGATAAACAGACCCAGATGGGGTGAGCAGAATAGGTGGATGCTGCCCCTCCCAGGGCCAGGACACAACTGCTTTCTTGGAACTGAAACCCTGCAACACTATATAAAACACCAAGCATATAAGGTTTCCAGCCACAACTACTCCGAATCCCAGCCTTTTGAAGATCTCCAAGTCTCTCGCTGTCCTGGAGTATCTAAGGTGCCCCAATATGCCCAGGGATGGAAGTGCTCCCGCACACCAGGGTTCATACCTGGGTTCTCAGGCTCAGAGAGATTTCGTGTGACGATTTCACGGATGCAAGCAGGCAGGCGGGAGGGCCCCGTGTCCTGGCCTGGATCCTGCACTGTCAGGCCCTTTTCCTCCTCCGAGGTCAGGACGTTGCTTTCTAGCTTCTAAGGAAAGAAAGGCAGAGAAATCTTGAGTATCTGGGGCCAGGGAAGGAAGGGGTTAAGCGAGTCTCACAAAAGTCCTAGGATTTCGTCTTAATACACCACTTCCCAACACAGTAGGCATATCAACAATCAAAGTCCTGAGAAGACTCTAGGATCTCATAAGATGGAGGGAGGCGAGGTGGCCCAGGTCTGGAAAAAATCCATCCAACCCAACAAGCATTTCTTAAACACCTATTGTATGCAAGGCAGTATGCCAGGTGCTAGAGATATGGAAATAAAATACACTCCCTCAAGGAGTTTACATTCTATTCAATCAACAAGCATTTATAAGCACCTGCAATGTGCTGACACTATTGGGGGGACAGGTACAACATATAAACAGTAATACTAACCAAACCACAACAACATTTATATAGTTCTTTTAGTTTACATAGAGATCAAAGAAAGAAAAAAGAGTAGAGGTACTAAAATATTTATAGCACTTTTTTGTGGTGACAAAGAACTGGAAACTTACAAAGTTTTCATTAATTGGGGAATAGTTAAGCAAATTATGGCATATGCAGGTGACATAAGAAATTGCGCTTTAAGAAATGTTGAAGGGAATGGCTTCAGAGAAACCTGAGAAGACCTGTATGAACTGATGCAAAGTGAAGGAAGCAGAACCAGAAGAACCATTTATACAAGGACAACAACCGTGTAAAGATAATCAACTTTGAAAGACTTGAGAATTCTGATGGATGCAACAACCAACCAGGATTCCAGAGGGCTGACGATGAAGAATGCTACCTACCTCCTGACACAGAAGTGATGGGCTAAATATGCACATTGAGACATGGAGTTTTGGATGTGATCAATATGGAAATTTGTATTTCTTGACTAGGCAAACTTTTTCGAAGGGTTTTAGTTTTTTTTCTTCTTTTTTTTTTCAATTGGAGGGGGGTGGGAAAGAGAGAGAGAAAAATAAATGCTTGGCAAATTTTTTTAATCTAATTTTTAAAAGAAAAACAAAAAGCATTTTGCAACTATCACCTCATCTGATTCTCATGACAATCCTATGAGGCAGGTGTATTATTATCCCCATCTATAAGTTAACTGACTTGCCGGACCACATAGCTAACATCAGATGCTAAACTTGAACCCAGGGTCTTTCTGACTCCAAGATTAGTGCATGTGTACACACACACACACACACACACACACACACACACACACTTATATACATATCTACACATCTGATAAACTAAGGCACGGGGATAGCAACTAGGGGCATGTAGAAAGATCTCACGGTCTTGAAAGAAGCTGGGTACACTAAGGTACACAAATGAGGGGGGAAAGCATGCCAGGCATGGAACAGACCATCCACAGGGGTACGAGATGCACCACTGACTTCTGCAAACAGCAAGAGGCCAGTCTGGCTTCTAGAATATGGAGTGTGTGAAGGGAAAGTGAGATGAAGTAGGCCTGGGGAGGGAGGCTGGATTCAGAATGTGAAAGGCTTAAGCACCAAGGAAAAGAGTCTGTATTTTATTCTAGAGGTAATAGGGAGCCAGTGAAAATTCTTAAGCAGGGGAGGAGAGGAAAATGACATGGTCAGACTTATGTTTGCTTTGGGAAGAGTATTTCTGCAGGAGTATATGCAGGATATGTTAGAGATGAGAAAATCTGCAAAAGTAGAGAGTCTAATTTAGGAAGCTGTTGTAATAGTCTAGTGAGAGGGGATGAGGATGGTGGCCCTGGGAGTGGAAAGAAGGGGATGCATGTAAGTCATCAAATATCACCTCCCATTTTTATAATGATTTTCTATAATATAAATATTATTATCTTCATTTAAACAATGAGGAAACTGAGGCTCAGAAGGGATGTGACTCAGCCTGCATCAAAGTGAGTCAATAGCAGAGCTCCAGATCCTCAAACTTCAAATTCAAGGCTAGAGCTTTCTGCCACACCCACACTCCCAGGAATAGCAGGAAAGGGACCTCTCAAGGTGTTCTCATCCTTCTCTCCAGCACCAGGAAGATCATGTCTGGGAACAGGGTCTTTCCACATCAGAGAAACTCCTAAGGAGTCACAGTCAGGATGGGATCACCCAAGTTGTGTTTTAGGCAAGATGGGGTGGGAGGGGGGAGCAGGGACCCTCCGCCCTAGCAGCTGGATCAGCTCTCAGCAGGAGCTTCACTACCCAAACCTTCCCTTCCCTTCCCAAAGCTCAGCTTCTGTCCCTGAGAATCCCACACAGCAAAATACCCAGGTCCTACAGCCCATGGCATGTCAGCCAGGCTCAAGAGCACAGGGATCTAGACTGGTTTTGGTGGGGAAAGGAATAAGGAGGAAACTGAGGCCTGAGCCCAACAATAAAAGGTTGGAGGAGATGGACGACCAAGATCTTCTGCCCCACGGTTCACTCTCAGGGAAAACATTTCCCTCCCCAAAGTTACCCTTTATCATGAACAGGGGCCATGTATTCCCTTAGGATCACTGGATTTAGAGGTGGGAAGGGCCTTGAAGGTCACCCAGTAAGTATTTAATGCTTTTTCATTCATTCATTCATTCATTCATTCATTCATTCATTCATTCATGTAGTCGAGCTCCTTCATTTTACAGATAGCAAAACTGAGCTGGGAAGTGACTTCCCAACAGTCCTAAAGAGCAATGTAGCTGAGTGGGTAGAACACTGGACTTGGAAGTTAGAAAGCCCTGGGTTCAAATCTTACTTCTGACGCCCATTGGCTTGTAACTATAAGCAAATCAACCTTTCTGAGCAGGGATTTCCTCCTTTATAAAACATGCATAACAACCTGTAGTGCCCCCCATCACAGAATTGTGATGAAACTCAAATAAGGAGTTAAATATTTCAAATAAGATAACACAGGCCAAGCATTCTCAAGATATCATGTTATGATTATTGAGTCAGTTATTATTTTATCACAGATGTCAGATATTCTTACTGAAAGGGTATGGTTATAAGGGTTAGAGAGCCTGCTTCAGAGCCAGGGAAATCGAGGTTCGAGCCCCACCTCTGACGTACCCTTGCTATGCTACCCTGGGCAAATCAATTTCTCAGTGCACCAAAGGACTGTCTAAACCCGTAAGATAAAGAGCAGGTGCCTTACTGAACTGGTAGAGGGAGTTTCCTTTCCCATCGTGCCTTACACTGATGAAATCATAGGTCTGGTTAAAAAAATTCTCATTAGCAGGAGCAGCAGTGGTAAGTGGGAGAGCCAGGAACCAACAACTCATTCTGAGGCTTGTGGGTCCTTCTCTTGAATTTCTCTACTCCCCGGGGCACAATCCTAGCTGGAGCCCTCATCCCCTCTCACCTGGGCTATTAAAATAATGTGGGAAGGACCCCTCCTGCCCCCAGCTTTCCTCCCCCCCCCCACAACCAGGAGCCATCCTTGATCCATACCCCTTACTCACCCACTCTGGGCAGTCCTGTGACCCCTGATCTTTACCCTGGTCATTCAGACCCACCTGAATAACTGTCTCCAACTTCGGTTCAGCCACCGGTGGCCCCTCATCCCTGGAGCTCATGGGGAGAGGCAGTGGGACCCCAGCAGTGCCCAGCAGCCAATCCTCCCTACCTCCTCTTCCCGGGCAAAGCACTGGGTATAGAGTGCCGGGCACAGAGAGCTGCCCTCCTCCCTATTCAGGAGATAGTGACAGCTGCCCCTGCCCCTGCTGGCCTCAGCAGAGACTCTGGGCCAATCCAGATTATAATTAAATCTCTGACTGACGGTTCTCCCCCCTCCATGTGACCAGGGAAGGCGGGAGAGGGGGAGGGACCCCAGAATGCCAAGTTCTCCTTCATCCCCCCCACCTTCTTCTAGGTCCCTTCATTCATCCTGCTGCAAGATTTCTGGGTCCTAGAGTCCTCCATGTGGCATCGAAGGGTTTTTTCACTATTAGAAAGGACCTTAGAAATAATCCAGTCTGAGGTTTTAAACCTTTTTTGTGTCATGGACCCCTCTGGCAGGCAGGGAGGCCTCTGGGCCCCTCCTCAGAAGCATGTCTTTACATGCTTGAAGATTACAAAAGAAATCAATCATATTGGGGGGAAAAGAGGCAATTTTTTCATTCAGCATTCTTTTCATTATGCCAACAGGGAAAAAGGCCAGAGGGCCCCCCACCCCAGTGTTCAGAGCCTCCTCCCACCCCCACTACTGCCTCCACCCTCCACAGTCTTCCAATCCTGGCCTGCCACTAACTGAGCATGCCCTAGGGCAAATCAATGACCCGCTATGGACATCAGCTTCATCACCTATACATTGAGGGATGTGGATTACAGTAAGGCTAAGGTACCTCCCAAGTGGGATGGCAGCATGGGCCCTGAGCAGGCAGGTGGGGGCTAAGCTCTGTACTCACCAGCTATCCTTGGCTCCAGCCCAGCCCGGCTCAATCAAATGGATCAATCATTTACCAGCATTTAAGTGCCTACTATGCGCCAGGGGAGCTAGGTGGCGCCACAGTGAATGGAGTGCTGGGCCGGGAGTCAGGAAGACTAGCTGTGTGACCCTGGGCAAGTCATCTTACCCTGTTTGCCTCAGCTTCCTGATCTGTAAAATAAGTTGGAGAAGGAAACAACAAACCACTTTTGAGTGGTTCCTTTGCCAAGAAAACCTAGGTCTCCAAAAGTTATGAAGAGAATGAAACAACTGAATAACAACATTGTGCCAAGCGTTGTTTGAAGGCTAGTGATACAAAGCCAAATAAAAAGTCCCTGCCCTCAAGGAGCTCCCAGTCTAACGGGGAAGACAACGACAAACAACTACGTGCATACAAGACACACGCGGTGACTTTAGAGAGTAAGGCTCGCCTCCTGTCTCCTCACCTCCTCCACTCCACCAATGAATTCTTCTTCAGCCTTTATGGCTTAATTTAAATGGTCTTTTCTTGATATTAGAGCCAGCTAAGTGCTGAGGTGGGCCTGGAAGTCAGGAAGACCTGAGTTCAAATCCAGCCTCAAACACTAGCTTTGTGACCCTGAGCAAGTCACTTAACTCTGCCTTGGTTTCCCCATCTGTAACATTGGGATGATAATAGCATCTGCCTCTCAGGAAGCTGTGAGGATCCAACAAGATAATAATTGTAAAGCACTTAGTCCAGTGCCTGTCACATAGTAAACACTATATAAATGTTAGTGGTTGCAGTTTTCAGGTGAGAAATTAAAGCCATCTATAGTCATATGAAAAAATGCTCTAAATCACTACTGATTAGAGAAATGCAAATCAAAACAACTCTGAGGTACCACATCACACCTATCAGATTGGCCCACGTGACAAAACAAGAAAATGATAAATGTTGGAGAAGATATGGGAAAATTGGAACACTAATGCATTGTTGGTGGAGTTCTGAAATGATCCAACCATTTTGGAGAGCAATGTGGAACTATACCCAAAGGGCTATAAAAATGTGCAGACCCTTTGATCCAGCAATACCACTTCTAGGGCTGTATCACAAAGATCATAAAAATGGGAAAAGAACCCATATGTATAAAAATATTTATAGCAGCTCTTTCTGTGATGACAAAGAATTGAAAATTGAGGGGATACCCATCAACTGGGGAATGGCTGAACAAGTTGTGGTATATGAATGTAATGGAATACTATTGTGCTGTAAGAAATGATGAGCAAGCAGACTTCAGAAAAACCTGGAAAGACTTGTATGGTCTGATGCTCAGTGAAATGAGCAGAACCAAGAGAACATTGTACACAGTAACAGCCATGTTGTGCGATGACTAACTTTGATAGACTTAGCTCTTCTCAGCAATGCAAGGATCTAAGACATCTCCAAAGGCCTCATGATGGAAAATGCTATCCACATCCAAAGAAAGAACTATGGAGTTTGAATGCAGATCGAAGCATACTATTTGCTCTTTTTTTTCTTCTGTTTTGTTTCTTCTTTCTTGTGGTTCCTTCTATTGGTTCTAATTCTTCCTTACAACATGACTAATGTGAAAATATGTTTAGTAGGAATGTATATATAGAGCCTATATAAGACTGGTCGCCGTCTTGGGGAGGGAGGTGGGGAGGGAGGGGGAAAAAAATTCAAAACTCCAAAGCTTATGGAAGTGATTGTTGATAAATCAAAATAAATTAATAAAAAAGAAAACTAAAAATAAATTAATTAAAAATAGTAACAAAACAAGTAAATAAATGTTAGCTGTTATTATTGATACACTTTGTTCAGCAAGTCTCATTACTGTGTATTAGTTATCGAAGGCCCGTCTTATCCCCATTCGAGGCTGTAAGTTCCATGAGAACAGGAGCTGTTTTATTTAAATTGCTTCTTCTCAGCACAGAGCACAGCGCTCTGCAAACACTAAGCACATAATAAATGTTTGCTGCTCTTGAATGTACAATTAAAATAGTAGTAATAATAATTACTATACCTTTCAGAGTTATACAAAGAAAAGGGTTGCTGGCCTGGAAGAGAGGAGTCCTGTTTCCTCCTCTGTAAGAGATGAGGGGGTAGAAGGTTGAACTAGATGATTTCTGAGGTCCTTCCAAGCTCTAATATTAGATAATCACTTTGAGGTCAACCCTGAGGCAGAGAAATTTTCACGAGGAAAGGAAGCTGGGCAGGAAGGAGTGGTGGGCACCCAGATCTGTGCCCAGAAAGAATCTGAGCAGAAATCAGGAAGTGATGAGAAAGTCATCACTTGGATTTGAAGCCAAAGGACCTGGGTTTAAATTCCCTCTCTGCTAATTACTTGCCGCATGACCTTGTGCACTTCATTTCCCCACTCCTGGCCTCAGTTTCCTCATCTGATAATACTATTTTTTTTTAAATTTTGGTCTAGACATGTGATTTCATGGACATGGGGAAGGACCAGTGTACAAACTCCCTCTCCCCAAATCAGAAACTAATGTGTAATTTGTAGCTTTAGTACCTGGAGCACTAAAAGATTAAGCCAGTCATTAAACCAAATCCACAGTCACACGGCCAATACATCGCTGGGGCAGAACTTGAACCCAGAGCTCCTTAACCCTATTACAAGTTTCTCAGAACAATAATAGTTACATTTGTACAACTCAGGGCTGGAGAATACTTTCCATACATTATATTGCTAGATGCTTACAAGAAACCTGTGAGGTGGGTGTGATTATTATCCCCATTTTACAGATGGGGAAACTATGCCAAGTTAGTTGTTTGAGGTATGACTCAAACCATTTTTCTATCCACTATCAGAGAGATCAAAACCCGACTTGAGAGACATCCAGGACTCAGTCAAAAATCTTCCACAAATAGCCCACAAAATAAAGAATCATCTGGTACCTCGGTTCGGTAACCTGCCTCCAGCCAGCCGATCGTAGCTTTGTTTCCATTTGGCACGATATCTAAGTGAAAGGCAAGAAGGGCCAGGACAGGCAGTGGTGGGGGCTGGTTCCCCCAGAGAGACAAGAGGAAGTTGGCCAGGATCCCTTATTCTCAGCACCGGGCTCTGGGCAGAGCCAAGGCTCAGCACTGCCGGATTCTGCCGCTGCAGCTGACTGAGCCGCTCCGGGCTGGGTGTGTATTCGGCTGAGCCAAGTCAACAGGCCTGTGTTAACCCCTGATGAATATTCAGGTGTGTGAGGGGAGAAGGGGGATGTTAATCCACCGAATAAACAGATTGTGGCAGATGAGGGGAGAGGAGAGCTCTTTGGGTAGAGGCCAAATGGCCTCCGTGAATTGTGTGAGAGGCATTTGGGGCAACTTCTTCCTTTGGCTCTGAAACCTTTTACCATCTTATCCCCCCCCACCAACCCAAACCAAATCCAAAAAGCAGAATGGACAAAATGCTGGACTTGGGAGGTACAAATCTCAGGCAGCTGGGTAGAACAGTGGCTACAGTGCCAAGCATGGAGTCAGAAAGACCCGAGTTCAAATGTGACTTCACCACCTATACTAGCTGTGTGACCCTGGGCAAGTCATTTAACCTTTGTCTGCCTTTGTTTTCTCCTCTGTAAAATGGGAATAATGACAGTACCTACCTCCTAGGGTTGCTGTGCATATCAAATTTAATAATTGGCAAACCTGAAGGCGTTATATAGAATATTATTATTGAATCCTGGATCTGGCCATTCTTAGCTCTGAGCCTTGTCCATAAATTGGGGATAATAATACTGTAACCACAGGACTGCGGTGAAGAAAGCCCTCTTTAAAGCCCAATATAAATGTGAACTGTTATGCTGCTCTAGGCTGACTGCCAACTAATCTCTGGTATAACATCACTTGACAATTCAAAGACAATTCCATTTACAGGCATTTATTAAGTGCCTACTCCGCGTGTGTGTGTGCGCGCGCGTAAGGCAATGAAGATACAAAGGGGAAAAAAAATTCCTCCCTCAAGGAGCTTACCCTCTACGGGGAGATACAATACTGAAAGAAAACAATGCCATATAATTTGGAGGCTGAGAGTGATGACAAAAGACTAGAGAAGCCAGCAGCTAGGATGCTGGGATGCAGACGTGAAGAGGCTGTGTCTTCCAAGCTTAGGAGATGGAATACACACAAAATGATGAAGGCACACAAAATAGGGCATTTAGCCAGATTCAGTATGTCAAGGGGAGTAAGGTAAAATATGCCTCTAAAAGGAGACTGAAGCCCAACTGTGAAGACCTTTAAACTGCGAGCTGAGGAGTTTGCACTTTTTCCTAAAGACAACAGGGAGCCACTGAAAGTCTTGAG